TGCCTTTGCGCAAGACTAAACAGGTGCTTATAACCCTGGCAAAATGAAATCCAGCTGGACAATCGGCATGTGAATTCATAAGAATAATTAGATCTAAGCCTCTGTGTCTCTGTCTCTCGGTTTTAGAATACATAAATAAAAATGATCAGACCAGAGCTGCTGTAACTATGGCAGTGGCAGCATTGTTAACACTGTGCAAGTGTGTGTGTGTGTGTGTGTGTGTGTGTGTGTGTGTGTGTGTGTGTGTGTGTGTGTGTGTGTGTGTGTGTGTGTGTGTGTGTGTGTGTGTGTGTGTGTGTGTGTGTGTGTGTGTGTGTGTGTGTGTGTGTGTGTGTGTGTGTGTGTGTGTGTGTGTGTGTGTGTGTGTGAACGTAAGTGAGTGGTGGCTGACCCTACGGCGCAGAACAGCAATCTGTTCACTAAAAAAAAAAACTGCTCTACCGTCTGGTCTGTCAATGTGTGCGAATAATGTGTATTTGTGTACACATGATAAATGTACCTGCTCATGTGTGTCTGTTGGGTTTGTGAGTGTATACACTTGCATGCATTTATGTGGGCTTTCTAACAAATAAATATATATGTGTGTGGGGGGTGAACACGAAAACCCACCATTCTTTCCGCAGCTTTCCCTTTCTTCTCCAAAAATAGGCTGCACTCCTTTCGTTACCTAACATGAATGCCTTTTAAATCTCCTTTGGAGAGATTTGGGTGTAAACCTGTTTCCAGTTGAAGAAGCTAAGCTGTGGAACCACAAACCTAAAATAAAACTTGTGTGCCATTTGGTAAGCCTTTTATGGCATTTGGTTTGCAATATCTTTGTCTACAGAAGCATCACTGCTGGGCTTAGTCAAAGGAGCTGAGGTGAATAGACAGGGGAATGGGGACATCACTGAGAGGGAAGAACATCTATAAGGCATCTCCTAGGTCATTTTAATCAAATATGCACAAACAAGTAATCATTACAATATGAGAATCTGAAAAAGACGCATATGGTTGTCTTTGCATGCATCTGTGTGTTGTACAGTACCTGTGATGGCATGATGGGAGAAGGCCTCTACATATGTCAGGTAGTTGTGAGGACAGTGTTTCTTAAGCCACTTGCAGACATCCTGCTGAGTCCACAGCACCACAGGTTTGGACAGGCTGGACAGAGTAGGACTGGTGTGATACACAGTGAAGGCTTCACCCGGACGCAACTGAAACACAACAACAACAACAACAATATATCAACAGATGCACTGCGCTGCTGGATGTGTGTGTTTGTTGCAGGTACAGTATTAGCAAGACAGAGAAGGTTTCTCATTTCTCTAATTCCCCTCCTCGACTCCTATCCTCGACTCCTATCCTCGTGTCTTAGTCCCGCCCACAGGAGATGCGAGCGGAGGAGTCGAGGAGGGGAACCGAGGAGAGAGGAGGGGAAGCAGCAGGTGGTTAGAGAAATGAGAAATCCTCTCCTCTGAGCGGTCATTTTAAAGAGACGTCCGTTAATGATGACAGGAGGCACAGCAGCCCTCTGTCTGATGAACAGATGTGTTCATGACGACTTATATATTTACTTTTAATTCATTCACAGTGCAGTATAATGAGACAATAACAGGCTACAGATGCGGACATATACACACACATATATTTATATAAATATATACAATAAAAAAATCAAACAAGTATGAGAGCACTCTCATAATAACACAATCAGAGACTAGATATTAGAGAAATTAGAAACCTTCAGAGTCAGCGAGTATATGTATATATTTATGTTTTCATTTCCTGAGGTGCAATATGACGCAGGTTTGATTGCTCTTTATTGCTTTTCCAAATAATCACCTTGTAATCGCTCTAGCTTACTTACTACTTACATTTGCAACATGCTGGATCTTCTCATTAATGTGAAATTAGCAACAAAATCCCTTCAGGTAGTACATTCGCCATAGAAAATGCTGTGAGTGCAAATAAAGTAGTGCAATGAAAAGCAGCTTATTTGGGGTTTACAGTAAGGTGAAGTCTGCAGAGTTATCTTTCAAGTTTAGATTTTAAAACATTTTCAAAAGCTTTAGTCTACTCTTCACATTTGTAAATTAACATAATGAGCCCAAATGTAACCCAAATTAGCAGTGAACATAAGGTGTAAAGGTTTGTAGGCAGGGAAGGGCAAACAGATGCCATTCATTTGATTAAAAGGAGCACTGCACTCAGTCTTTGCCTTTCAACCCTAATTTAGAGAGACAAATGTAGAGCTGCTATCCTCTGCTATATGTCCTCACGCAGCAGATAGAAGCTATATGTTCTCGCGCATGACAATATTCACAATCTGTACAATGTGGCACTTCACCCCTCTATCAACCACATATCTTGATACACTAATTACATGTAATATATTATTTCCACCAACATTGGCTGTGCAGTATCGTGGATGCTGTGGTTTCTTTACAAAGGTAATTCTTCCTGAAAGTGGTACCTGCATTATGCAGAGACTAACGCTGCATTAGTGGGATTCTGTCATATTTATCTTTCAACAACAGTATGTGTCTTCATTCCTCTCATACTCCATTTCTCTCTCCTAAAATATTTCAGCACTTTTCTTTGTCTGTCACGACTCACGGCTCTGTGCGGGGAATTAATAGGGACATTAATAAAGTCACATCGAGTTCATATGGGCAGGAAAGACAACCATTAGCTGTCCCCTCAGCTCTCTCACTTGTGTGACTTTGTCTCATATCTAATCCATTCATTCATGCTCTGACTGTGCCAACTCCACAACAAAGGCTTTGGCTGATTTTCAACAGAAAAACACAGAACTGCTGCCAAACGTTCCACTTCATAACTGACTGCATTTAATGGGATTATGTATGCTGAAATGTTATACACACAAATGCAACTTGCACACACTCTTGTTGCTTAATATCCAATGTTGTCCTCGTCGCTTTTTTGTTAATGACACTAAGAGCTCCCAGAGTACCTTCACAATTAGTGAAAGACACAGGTTCCTATCTATTTACATCTTTGCCTGCAGTTGTAATCTCCGCCTGTCAATTTAAGCACCAATCAGCTGCCCTATCAAGTTCTGGTTGGTCCACCAGCTAAGTGTGTTCATGCTTTGTAGGCCATAATTGAAAACAACTCCATCTTTCCGCTTCAGTGTGTTCGCTCGTTTCCATATTACACACATACTTCTAACCCAAGTAAAGCCATTTTAATAACCCAGATTGACTGCCCCAGCCCCATTATTAATTGAGAATGAGTTAGGAAGGTTGGGTAAAGGCTCTCTCTTTTGGAAGACTGCATGTGGACAAGAGGGGTGTCCTCATTTTTGAATGGTCATCTTTAATCTTTTTCTGCATTGTTTCTATTGGCAATCTAGAACTCAGTTTAGTATACGGAGATGCTTCCCAAAAGATGATCCAAACCATCTGTAATGACTTATCCTCAATAGTGACTAAGCTACATGACATTGCATAAACACATAAGAGATCAAATAAAGGGCTTAAGATACACTGAGATACAGATCATCGCGTAAATGTTGTGATGAGGTCAATTATGTAATATCTATGATATTTGCTGACATTTATACATTTATAAAACTGTACACTAAATGTTATACACAAATACATCTAAGCAAAGGGAAGGTGGCAGACACAGGGGGGAAAACAGTCAGACAAAGAAAGAGAAAAATATAGAGCAGACAGTGCGCAGAGGCAAACTCTTTGACTGAGTAATGGCCTTCATCATCAAGAAGCCAGACAGGAGGAAAATGGAATGATAGCTCCCCATCATCCCTCCTTCGTTCCTCTTCCTCCCTCACTTTCTCTCCCTTGTTCTCTGGCCATCCATCAGACCGTATCTCCTCTGGCCAGTTCTGTGTTTGCCTGTTCACCCTTTACTACCTCCCCCACTCCTCCTGAGACCTACTTCTACGTCCAGCGGGAGGAGCTTCCTCATTCATTACGTTCAGGAGAGAGATGGAGGGGCTGAATAGGCAAAGTGGAGGCTGTATATGCGGCGGAAGTCTAATGAGAGGTGGAGGACAGAGAAGAAGGAGAGACAGAGGGGGAAGGTAATAGGTATGTTGCTGTAAGCACCAACATGGCCGGGACAGTTAGCCAAAGTCATGTGTTTTAGCAGTTCAGTTCTTAATTGATTTAACATGGACATATTGTGTGGTATACCAAATATCTTGTATATTGGATTCTGTTGCAAAATAATTCTGTTTCCAAATATAGCTCTTTGGTAAATCTGCGTATTCACTTTCTTGCTGAGTAAGATAAGATTAATAACAGGATGTTTGTGAAATAAATATATAGCTACAGCTGGTGAGCTTACAGTAGAGATGGCAATACAATCAATGGCCTAAAAATGTAACTATGAAACTGTTCAGTGCATGTAGATTCATCATATTGTTGCTAAGTTACTAATGTAGATGGTCCGTTAAAAAAAGGGAAAAATTGGTTCTACCATGTGGCCACAACCATGCTAACTGTTTCATGCTCTTTATGCTAAGCTAAATGCTAAATGTCCGATAGCTGTACCTTCATGTCCAGATTAGACTGTTTTCAGTCTTCTCAAATAACTCTATTATTGACCAACATTGACCTATTTATTTCATTTATACTATGACTTTATTTGTGTGGAAATAGATGCAATAAATACATTCATTGTAATAAATGATAATGAACTAATTTGCACATTTTTCGTATCTTTGTATCATGAGTTCTATCTCTTTGCTCTTCACTGTGTTTCTGCTCGCTAGATACTTTCCCCCCTTACTAGTCCACACACTCTAACTTTCTTCTCTGCACTTCTCTATTGATCATTGTGTTTGTATCCTCTGAAAGCGTATTTGTCCTTTTCGGCTTACTTTGTTCTATCATGTCTCTTATCCCGCCTCTACTTGCTCCTCGTAAATGTTATCCCCGGCCGGCCTGACATCCTCCCTCCTCCCATTCGCCTCACCTTCCTCTCTCTTGTTTCCTCCCTTCCATCTTCTTTGTGCCTTGACCTCTAGTGCTTCTGGGCATGGAGCTACTTTTTGTCCATTAAGGTGCATACTGTAAGTTTTTTTTTTCTGTGATTACAACTGCATGCCTCTCAGTGTAACTGAATCACGATAAGCTAAACGTCAGCAGAGCGCGGTGAATCCTAAAAAATGCACTCTTTGTGAACGACAAAGCCTCTGTCTCTGCACATCTACTTCCTGCCTGAGATTGATCAATGATGCTACGCCAATTAGCAGAGTGTGTGTGTGTGTGTGTGTGTGTGTGTGTGTCTGTGTGTGTGACTGTGTAAATCAATCTGTGATTTATATTTATAATCTGCACACCATGCACTCTAGCTCACACCTGCCTTTTCCTTTCGGCTCTGCATCTTCTCCTGCTGTCACTTTATTTCTCCACAGGTTACTAAACACTTCTCTTCTATCTTCTCTGTAAGCCCGGATGTCTAACAGCTCTCTCTTTCTCTCTCTCCATTTACAGTGCCGATCTATCTCCTCTTCTCCTGTCGTTACAGAATCAGATCTTCAATCCGTCTCTTCTATTCCAAAGACCCTGACGGATACTGACAGATGATTCTTCATATCTCCTTCTCACCTCTTCACATTTTCTCATTCCATGTTTTCTTTCCTCTCGGTATCACTGAATCAACCCCCCTCCCCTTTCTTCCTGGCTGTTACTGTTACATCATTTAGCACCCCTGTGTGTCCCACTGCTCAGTTTACTCTTTATGCATATGTGTTTAAGTATGTCACTGTGATTTTTATAACGTTTATGTGTTAGTTTCCATGAGTGTGCTCTTGTGCGAGAGAGTGTGGGCAAGTGTGTTAACTGTCAGTCTCTGTTAGCTGCCGCATGGCTTTGCCTGTGGTTGTCCTCGAGACATGCCGTTTGTAAATGTTTTGCACTCATGCAAATGTGAGCAAACTCTCAGTAGGAGGACAAAAGGCCAGAAGAGATTTTTTACAAAACCCTCTATTTAGCATGAGTCAAACATGTGTCTCGGACAGAGCAACACTTTACATCACCCAGCAGCTCACTTATTTGTTTTTTTCTGTGTCTCGGTCTTTGAAACCTCAGTTCTCTGTTGCATCATCAAGACAACAAAGATGATGCTTGCATGAAGTGCCAGCACTTAGGTTGACAACAAGTGAGGTGATAGGATTCATTTCGGGGTTGTCTGATCTGCCACCTTTCGGTTTAGTCAAGATTAGGGAAATACAATGACTTGCCAAAAGTGGTAAAATAATTAACAAACAGTCGGTCGAACCATCAATCTCAGCCACAGAAAATATTAAAAAAATGCAGCAAAATGTAGCCTAAAATATACAATGTAATATATATATATATATAATATGGAGTAGCAGTGGGCAGCTTATTACCGTACAAGATTTGGGCACACAATATACACTAAGAATATTAATGCCTGTCGGTGAATATGATAAATGTAATATTCAGAGTGGTACAGAGCAACATGCAGACCCCGAGTTGATGGCAGCACTGCACATAGTGGAGTTTGGCAGTATTTTAATGTAGTCGTACATAAGCAGAGATGCAGGACAATCATAACAACAGTGACTAATGGTCGGTTCAATATATGTTACGAGTGGTCAAAGTTTTGGCATTGTGTGTTATATGTGTGTGTTTTCTCTCTGGTATAATTCACTGTTTGTGTTGGTATCTGCTGGAAAGTTCAGCCACTGTAATTAGGAGGGGAAAAATAATCACAGAGAGGTCTGTTATATTTGCAAACCCAGCATGGCAATTTAGTGAATAAGGGCCTCACTTTCTCTAAGCTTGGTTCTGATAGAAGGCACAGTGGCTGCTGTTACTTCCTAATTTGTGTCTCTGTTATATCACCTATTCCCCAGTCTCATCTAAAGGTTCACCCACAAGCTGTGTGTCAGAAAGCAAAATGAGACACCCGCAGACCCCTCCCTCCCCCCATCTGGCTAGTCGCACAACAGCCAATTCAAGGATGATGCAGACGGTGCCACAATGCAATGAGTCATTATTTGGAAAAAACCTATTACTGGATAGGTCTGCATACAGGTCCACATACACTAATGTAAGAATACAAATGAGTGTATAACCTCAATTTTAAGACCTGCTGCTGGTATGATCAATGTAATTTCATCTGTCTACAGCCCCAATTAACTTCTAACCTTAATGTGCAGAATCAGCCATGTTTCCAGAAACTCACTTTCATCCCTAGAGAATTCCTGAAAAGGACCTCAGCATAGGGAGCAAATCAAATTATCCCACTTTGTACGTACTGTAGGTAGCTAGACAACTGAAAAACGCTGAATGACAACACTTATATGTAAATATATGTTATATATTGTTGCATGTACTTTGGGTAAGCGTGACTCTGCCTATTTTGTCAGCATTGCAAAAAAACTGATTTGTGTCTGTGTTTGTGTGTGTGTGTGTGTGTGTGTGTGTCTGTGTGTGTGTGTGTGTGTGTGTGTGTGTGTGTGTGTGTGTGTGTGTGTGTGTGTGTGTGTGTGTGTGTGTATGTGTTTGTGTGGCTGTGTGCACAGGAGTTTGCATAGGAGTGCATACTGTGTTATATTAGCTTTTCTTAAATGATAAGGAAGATTCCCCAGGTCCCATGCAGAAGCTGAGTTGTGTTTCACTTAACTGGCTCCCTCATTACAGCTGATGTGTGCACAACCAGTGTAATGGAGAATAATCTAATCATCACTCCTTAGAGAAATGGACCCACAGATGCCAATCCACACAACCCACGTATACACACATAAAGACCCTAAAACCCTTCTCGCATGGGACTAGTATTACCAGTGGACCTCATGAGATATACACCCCAAGCTTGTTTTTTGACAAAGATGGTTTAAGATAGAGGTACAAAGGGACACTGGTTTTTGTTGTGAATGCAAGAGACACACAGACACATCAGAGAGGGCTGGACTGCTGTACCAGTAGTTGAATAATGCATGAAGAGGCTTGTTGCCACAAGGAAATGATAAGCCTTACTTCTCATGGTATGGAGGAGGTTTAATTATCCAGTCTCTGTGTAATCACATGGAAACAGCTTCCCACTCGTCTTGTATTAAGCCTTTTATAGCTGTTATAGCTGAGGGGGCAGTCTTTTATGGATTATTGAACAATCTCGAGGTGCATATGTACACTTTACAGCAAACGTTCCATGGTGGAGAGACTAGACAAATGACTTCCACTGGGCTATCTGCTCTCTTTCATATAAAGAGTAGTAGCCAGGATGAAGGCTGTTGTGTCATATGGTGTTTTAGGTCAAACACAGACGGGATGCCTTAAAATAGATTTTCTTCCCTCTTTGTTTTGCCTCTCTCTGGTGCAGCACAGATGGGCTTCCATTTTGCACAAGAGCTATGTGAGGAAGTAAATGATGCTCTGGCTGCTGTGCTTACATTATACTGCTGAGATATTGAGCCACCAAGCAAGCTTTCCCCACCAGCCATTCAGCACCGAAATGACTTTCATACCCGGTGTTTATGCCAGTCAGTTCTGTTGAAGCTGTTGCTGAGCTTCGGGGGGGAAAAACATGCATCTGTGGAATAAATGAGATTTTTAGACACATGGGACAGTATTAAGTCCATTTGTATGCAGCATGTGTTTCCTTGTACAAGCACAGTTACATCACAAGCAGTGAGTTAACAGTTATCTTAGCACTTGTTACAAAACCAGCTTCTCTCTGGCGGTATCCACTACAGGCTCGGCCAACATCATGTTCAAGATAAAACAATTAGACTTCCTGGTACCACTGAGATTTCACAGCTAAAGATGCACCCCTGCCGCTGATGCACTAATGCTCTCTTTTCTCTCTGATGCTCAGAGATTATCTGCCACTGAGCACATATGGCTTTTACCCACCCTAGTCAGGGCAGCTTCATAACACCACTCTGTCTCTCATATAGTTGGAGCCACTGCTTTTAAGATTACAGTGGAAAGCTTTTATGGGCTACCAGTTAATTCACACAGGAGCATATTAAATTACTGCAAACCGCACCTCAAGGGAAATAATATGTTCTTAACTAAGCTACTAAAGAATGTTCAAACTATATTTCATTATATATTTTATCTAGCACAGGGATGTAATTCAATACAAAGTCATGCAAGTGAATTATTTTACCAATTATAACTTCTCGACGAGAACAACTTCAAATAATGAGCTAGAGACGATCACAAATGCAGAAATAAAACAATCAAAATAATTTTATTTTGACGGAAATAACCTTTTATTGTTCATCTGTGATCAGACTGTTTGATTCCCGGAGCGAGAGAACCAATAAGGTTTCCTTTAACGGCTTTAAAAAATGTATCACAAGTAAAAATAACAAACAAAATGAAATGATTAAAGGTTGTTCAAAAACTAAAATATCAATTCTACAGGTAAATTATGATTTAAATGGCAACAATAAGCCTCTAAAAACACTAGCGGTATGTGAAATTGGCAGAACTGATTCCAAGCAACTGCAAACTGGGATTAAAGTGAAAACTTAGATCTTCAACTTTAGATTCTAAAATGTGGCATGTGTTCTTTCCCCATGCTGCTGTTATTGCCCTGACATTTATTCCTTTTGAACAAACCCAAATCATTGACAGATTATCCCCAAGCACAGCAGATTGCTTTACTAGTGAAACTAAGTATGGCTCCGGCCTCAGAGGCTTTTATTTTTCTTTCTATTTGTTGGGGTCGAACCTGCTTAAATCTGAGCTGTCCCTCGATGCCTGAACAAATGTTCTTGCAAACTGTTTTTGTAAGCAAAACATGCACTTAAAGTCTCCCCGGCACTGCCTTTGAATGTGTTTGTGTGGATGTCTGTATACCTGGATGCCCTCTGTGCCGGGCTGCTGCAGGAGCTTGACGGTGCGTGTGTGCGCTGTCCTCTGGCCGCGGCCGTCGTGCCAGGTCAGGTTGCTGCCTCCGGGGCGGCGCGGCAGCTGGTAGCTCAGCTCCTCCGCAGACAGCGTGTGCTCCAGGGAGGCGCGGCAAAAGCTGAAGCTGGACGCCGCTGAGAGGAGGAAGAGAAAGGGAAGAAAACGTCAGAGAAGAACAAACACACTAAGCACTCACTTTGTATTGTGTTAGTTTAATGTCTTTTGTCTATGAACTGAGAGACTTGAACACCTAAAAAAACGAACAAAATAAATAATTGATAATCCTCTAAGAGCTTAACAGTTTGCATTCACTCCAGATGACATGCTCTGTGTACTGACTGTCACATTGCTACGAACAGATGGCTGTTTTGGTGATGGTGGTGGGCAGCAGTGCGACTCCACTGTGATCTCCAATTATGCTAAGTGCATATTAACAGAAACAGCGCATGATTTTTTTTGAATTGTGTCTCTCTTGCTAGATTAATCTTTGCTTATTTAAAGCCTTCATCATAAATATTTGTGCATCCCTCCCTCTCTCTGTCTGTCTACCCTTTCCTCCCAGGAGTGAGCGTTAAGCTGTGAGACAGCTAAGCAGACAAGTTGTCACGACAGGTTCAGAGGACAGATCTCCGAGAGCTACAGGGCATCTTCTGCGGTTCACAAGTTGAACAGGCTACAGTGGTGCGTCGTCTGTGGCTGTGGGTCTATTTTCCATGGGACAAACACATCCATTGCTCCCCTTACCTTAGACACAAATGTATTAGTCATGTGCATGATGAAAGAGTATTTGACTGCACATAATCCAGACACAACAGAGAGATGACAGTGGGAACAGAAAAAGGTCAAGAGAATGCATGACAGAGGGTAAAACTGAGATATGCTGCTGCTTATTGTCAACTTTTGACAGTCACTTGATTTTTAAAAGGCCATGTTAACAAGAAATCCATTCCTGAGGGGTTAAGAGAAACACACAGCTAGATTTGAGCAAGAGAGGTAATTTGTCAAGTCAAACAAAAATTATCCTAGAATAAATACATTCAAGTTGTAACATCATTAATCATTAATATACTTTGAATATGCAACTGTTTGTTCACATATACGCTTACCATTACAAACAATATAAAATGTAAAGCAGCTTAAGTGTGCATGTCAAGCACAACTGGATCTCTCCCTAAAATCCCCTGATTCATGTGTGCGTGTAAAGGCAGTCATTGAGCTGGACACAGAATTACTGATGAAAGGGCTAAAGGCTAAACAAGGAATAATGGACATTGCATTCATTAATTTTACATTTGAAAAAAGCTTAACAACCGAACAATGTCAGAGCATTCTTTTAGAAAAGCCTCATTTCGTGTACTGAATGACTTCCTAATTTATTTTCCACCCTTATCCTGGGGACCAGATTTAAAAAAAAGAGAATGGATTTATTTCAATGCTGTACTGTATGTTAGGTTATATAAGCTCTTTCATGTTTCTCTCTACATGGGATCTTTGGCCCAATGGTTTTGCCCTATCTTCCATACCCGATGTAAAGATATAAACAAGATATCTTCTGTCAACATTAAAGCAAACCTGCCATTCTTTTTCACTAACAAGGGAAAAAACAAGCTTTCCAGGACAATTCCCACTTCAGAATTACACAACAGAGCACTGAGAGCTGCTGTATGACAGCTGATGCTTGTGGGAAACTCTGGGTTGCGGCTGGGAGTAGTGTGGGTTGTGAAGGGATGGGGCGGGCACTTTTTCTCAACCCAAAAGTCTTTTCATGTGAGCAGTGGTGAATACGAAAGAGTTCACATATGATGGAGGAATGAAAAAGAGTGTGAAGATGAAAACAAGAAAGGCCTGTCAGGAACCACTGATGTGTAACCTTCTCTTCCTTCTCATACCGCTTCCTTTCTCTGCGCTCCCCCTTTCCCCATTTCTATATGCTGCTACTTTTATATCTTCTTATGCAGCAGTATCTTACTTGTTCCCCTTTCTTTCTCTCTCTCTCTCTCTTTCTCTTTCTGGTTGTCAGGTCTTTGGGGTCGTCGGGACAAACCAACTCCAGCCCTGATGTAATTACTGCCAGTCAGACTGAAGGGGAGGAGACAGGAGGAAGGGACGTGGGAAGCTAAGCGCCTTGCAACCTTAAAGACCTGCCAATCTCTCAGAAGGAGACAAGAGCGAGCGCAAAAGCATGAGCAAGCCAGACAAGAAAGAGCGAGCGGTTCTGTAAATTAGCATTGGATCCATGCAAACTGACAGTAAACTGATCAAACTGTGGAAAGGTAAAAGAGCTTAGAGGGGAGACGCGTTTATAGACCGCGAAACAACTGCATTTCACAAGCTGTTAAAGAGAGCTTTCCAATTATTAGGCGGAGACTGACCTACACATTCTAGACATCACTTTGTAGATGAGGAAATGCAACATCATGACTTCAGAGTTCCATTGAAATCTCAATATGTGCCACATCGAAAGCTCTTGCCAACCCCGGCAGTCATTAAATGAAGACAGAGCGCTCGTTCGGCAAGCTTCAATGGACTCGGTCGACTTAACCTCCTGTCACAGGACACGGCTGAAAATAAAATCACCCAAAAGTGATTAAATATCCATACCTTCCAATTCAAGTCCGCTTTGGAAGGCATTACTACGTATGCCTCTGACGGTTGTCTTTTTTTACGGTTGCAAAGCTTTAGAAAAAGCCATTTATTCTAAAAGAGGCTCAATGATAGGATTTAGCTGTGGATCTAAATGTGATAAAGATCAGTGTCAAATGCAGTGTTTTTGCATTACCATCCTAACTATTCAGCAGGAAGGGTTATCAGTCTTTCCTCGTCTGTCTCAACATACTTTTGATAAGCCCGGACAAACGTCAAATCTCCTCTCTCCTATTTGTCACTAACTGGTGTAATATTATCTCTAGATGCCCTTGCCGGTGACTTCTATCACCTCTAATCAGGAAGTGCAAACTAGGGAGGATGAAGGCTGGATGGAGGGAAGCAGGGTGAAAAGCAGAAAAGGATATGCATTTGTTGACTGAGTCAGTAAATAAAGTAAATAAATAAGGAAGATTTGATGATGTGCAATTTATGATGCTCACATATCTGTAACTTCAGCCTCACATGGAGGGAGAGAGAGAGAACTGTTGGTGGTAGAGGTGCCAAAGCCAAGGGCAAAGTGTCAGACAGGTGTTTGTGTGAGTGTCAGTGTGGGCAGAGGGTAGGTAGGTCAACACGACTCAGCCCAGTGAAGTGTAACCTCATATCACCTCCTCTCAACTGAGCAGCATATCTGCCCTGCAGAGAGGCTGCTAAATCTCAGAGGTATACCCTTTTGTAAAGGTAATTAAGCCGTTAAGTACGGCACCCTGGAAGGTCGTTCCAAGCCAAATCCCACAGTAGATTAACATGGCATCACTGGACATTACTCATTTGACTCCAAAAGAGAGCATCTAAATTAGTCTGCGTGGACATTTTTTTGCTGAGTGGGCTTTTTGTAGAAGTTTGATTTGTGCATAACCTTGGCATTAACTTCTGAAATCCTCTCGCATGGAGGCAAGTGTTCAGGCTTATCCACCCTATTGCAGGCATCACAGAGAAGTTAACATGGTGTATTTTAGAAGCATGATATTAGCATGAACTGCCAAGCACCTCTTATTCAACCCTAAGATAGCATTTCTATTTGCAGACCAAGTTTTATATGAAAGAGGGGAGAAAAAAATCCCAGTCTTCTTCATTCCTGGTAATCTGCAAGAGGGTGAAACTTCATTATGAAGTGATTTCATGCCTGTGAAACACATTAAACCTGAAGTCCCAAATATAGCATCAAACAGACCGATACTGCCAACTCCACTACGTCTCGTACATCTACAAATGATCCAGATTTGTTGGGCCTATAGTAAGTTGGGTGGTAAAGCGAGGGGCTATTTACAACTCTTCCACTCCAACCGACCCGGTCTTAACCTCAGGAATGAGCCATGAAATTACTCCATTTTGAAACGGCAGGAGGTGATAAAAAGAATTCTGGTTGCAGCTTTAAAAATAAACTAAAAACCCTGCACCCCAGGGATTTTTCCCATGATGCTTTGCAGTCTATTACCCACTATGACATGAGAAACTGTCGCACAGGCTAGGGCTGACGTTTCTCTCACAAACCATCAGTGTCACAGGAACACGCAGATAGGGAAATGGGAATAAACAATGGACACCCACGATGCAGGCTCAAGATAACCACACACCGACTCTTATCAGTACACAAATGAGGAAAACGGCAGTTAGATCTGTGTTTTTGATTGTAGATGCAGATGCCGGCATGTTCATACATACGTGAATGTGACTCTGATGTGAATATTTCGCATACACATCTGTATAATCCCTGTCTGCTTTTCTTCTGGCTGGTGCATCTGAATACAGCTGCAGAGTCTGCATATGCAGCCATGTGGATGGAGGCAGTGTTTTAGATTTAAACAGTGGGGCACTTATGGCTCACAATGCACAGTGTAATCCGAACACAGGTGCAGCTAACATTTCTGTTATGATTTGCCTAGTCCATTTGCCCCCCAAAGGCACAGAGAACAACAAAGGCTGCTGAGAGAAATGGCCAACATTAGCTTCCTATTTTTAGGCAGTACTGTAGAGAAAAAACAAACAAAGTGAAGGGTCCAGCGTTAAGGACAGCCTGACTTATTTTCTCTAACTCCACCGCACTCCACCAAGACAGACAGAACTATTGATTAACCATCACTGTGTCAGAGAACATACAATTACATATCACTTTAGATAAAACACAAACGCAGGAAGACACACACACAAAGACAGTCCACCTTACTCCTTCACCCGAGGACACTGGCTGTCATATCCACTCCTGCTCAGCGGAACTCACTAAATGTTTTGCACTAGAGGAGGAAAATAACTTGTGACACAGCAGAGGAGATGAAATACAGGGGTCTAACATGGTTGTGCCCTCTTAAGAGGATAAAGGACTGAAGGCCAGGGTAAATAAGAACCAAAAAGATGGGAAAATGGGCAAGAAGACACGTCACAGGGGAGTGATTAGATTAAATTAAGCTTCAGAACAGAACATTAATATTAATTGTTATAGGAAATGAAGGAGGACAAAGAGGGAAATTATGAGCAGATGAGATCATGA